GCAACACTACCGCATTCAAGCCTGGGCCACAAAGCAAGACTCCACCTTAAAAAAAAGAAAAAGAAAGAAAATCTTGCCACCTTCGTATTTGTATATGTCTTAAAACAAGGGCTATCCAACAGGAGATGGGAGCCTTAGCTGGCTGATTTTCTTGTCAGTTGCCCCCGCCCCAGTCTTGTCTCCATGGCTCCTAGAGGAAAAGCATAGCTATCACATCATCCTAAGTGAGAATCAGGCACATCACTTACTCGTCTTCCTTTCAGTCCCCATTATATCCCCACGGACAATCACAAGAATCCGGAAAGTCACTGCATGCTGTTATTTTCCTTTGAGTGCCTCTGCATCTCTTCGGTGTCTTTAAAGATCGTCTAATGCTCCGTATGCCTTATTTGAGCTATATACACACTCATCTTTACTACTAGGGCACCTGATTTTCACAGCAACCCTATGAGATGGATGGAGTAGGTATTATGGTTCCCTATTTGAAAAATGAGGAACAGAGGGTCAGGTTGGTTGATAAAAGTAAAGACCCTGGATTTTCACTCAAACCTGGCTCTTAGTCTTGTTTTCTTTCCCATCTAATTTTACTCCCAGGATGAACTCAAATTCGAGAATTTATTGGCATTGATTGTTCCTTCTTGGTACTCTTAGATGTAGAGATAGATAATCCGTTGAAACTAAGGAGAACACTACATGTGTTATTTTACTCTAAACTATGTGAAAATTGTACTCTGGTAAAAATAAAAATTGACATATATATGCTATGTATATATACATATATTACACACATACATATCTGTGTATATATTATATATAAGTCTAGGTGTGTGTGTGTGTGTGTGTGTGTGCGTGAGAGTGTATTCTAGCATGGATGAATGTCTATAATCATTTATTTTTACCAGCCAGGAAGCTAAAGTCAGCTTTTTTGTCATTGATTACAACCTGAATTAAATGAATAATGAAGTCTCAATGCAGAGCAATGCCTGGAGATACTTTAGCCTTGGTGAAAACCAGACACTGCTTCACATAACTTGAACCGACAACACAAATACTCCTCCCTGCCCAGGGGATATTTCTGGGTCAGGACTCCCTCTCTCAGCCAGAGTCAGACATTGCTGAAAATTTTCCCAGCATACTACCCTGTTTCTCTGGCTGACCTTTGAGGTTAGGATCTCTGGATATAAGCCCATGAAAGACAGTGATAAGGCAAAGTCAGCTGCCTTTAGGCTTACAAAAATGCAGTTTTCCACTTCAAATAGACCCCCAAAATCCCCAATGACCACACACAAGCCATTCCTTATCTATGAGGTTAATGCAACAGACTCACCATCATCAGGCCACGCACCCTAAATTGCTTTTTCCTGCAAAGGTTCCCCTACTATTCCTTCATTGGCCTCATCATAAGAAATATGTGGCTGGGTGTGGTGGCTCACGCCTGTAATCACAGCACTTTGGGAGGCCAAGGCGGGCAGATCACAAGGTCAGGTGTTCAAGACTAGCCTGGGTAACATGGTGAAACCCCGTCTCAAATAAAAATACAAAAATTAGTCAGGTGTGGTGGCGTGTGCCCATAGTCCTAGCTACTAGGGAGGCTGAGGCAGAAGAATCGCTTCAACCTGGGAGGCAGATATTGCAGTGAGCTGAGATTGCGCCACTGCAGTCCAGCATGGGTGACAAAGACGCCGTCTCAAAAATATATATACATGCATATGAGAGTGGCTGGCAGGGGTCAGGGCTAAGGTTTTTGGGCATAAAGAGCTGCCCCGTGCAAAGCCAGATGTATCACCCAGAGATCAACCTGGGACTACAGCACCAATTAACTTTCCTGTTTACAAAATGCCTAAGAATTTATTAGGCAAGCACAATCCACTCCCATACAATCCATCAGACTAACCACATCCCCTATTTCCAGTACTCTCCATAAGCACCCAGAATTCACTGCCCACTGTGAATCAACCTTTCAAGCATCCTATAATATTCACAGCTCAAAATTAATCAGCAGGGTGGGAGGTGTTCAGGACATCTCTAAACAAAGTTCTTCCGCTCATGTATCTCTTCCTACCTACTTGGAAAATGTTTCTTCTAGCTTTATTCATGCAAACTACATTCAGAATGAAAAATAGAATGTAAATGCAAATATAATTTAACAAAATTTCTCAGGTATTTTTCCTCCCTTTCGTCCATCTGCAGTATGCTGATCCTATAACCTTTCATGGTCTACATCAAGGATCAATGAGGGAAGAGGGCCCTCCCATGGGAAATCAATCCTAATTGTTTAGAATCTAACATAAAACTATTTTTAAACTATTAATATTTTAAATTGCTTGTTGAAAAGGAAAATCATTTTCCCTGCTTACAAAACTACGATATAGCTCTTGCAATTCAATTTTCAAAAATTTATTTTCCTGATCTTCACATTTTGCATCTCCATTTTTAAAATGTCTTCCTTTCTCCGTATCTAAAAATTTGGATCTCATTTATTTTGACCTTTCTCCTCAGATTCAGATTAAACAAACCTTTCGCTGCAAGCCTAACTATGTGCTGAGCAATGCATAGTTAACTCACTCTATTATCTAGAGATTTATCATTTTACAGATGAAGGAACAGAGGCTCCATTAAGTTCAGTGACTTTCCTGCTTTCACAGCCTTGAAAGTGGCCTCTCCAGAGTTTCCAAGTCCACATGCTGTCAACTAGGGGGCTCTAGGTAAAATATTTCCCCAGTCAGTATGGCTTGCATCCAGTTTTATCCTTTAGAGGTGTTACTCAAATTGTTACATGGTTTGGGGAAGGGGCTTTGCTACTGGTAAACTCAGGCTGGAATCAAGGATTATAAGCAGCCCACAGAAGGATAAATAAAGCTATTGCACATTGCAGACAATCTGTTTGTTCACAGGGAACCTTCTCCCTGAATTCTAATAACCAGGCATTAATTCTTCTTTGTAGATTTAGTCTAAATGGAGGTCCACAATTAACAATATGTCAGGTCTTATTCCTTTACATCATTTCAATTCTCTAACCAGTAGATTGTTAGCTCAAAGGGTCAGAGCACATGATTAGTGAGGGAGGACAAAGGCCTCTTGCTCCATTCCTGTGCAGGTCAATAGGCATCCACACCTCCTACTCCCGGGCAGCTCAGAAGGTGCTCTTCCAACTAGATACTAAGAGGGCTTGTAGTCAGAACTTGTAGGGAAGAAAAGCAGGGCATTCTGACTCTGATTCTGAAACCAACCAAAATATAATATAAGCTAACATGACCACAACTAACAATGATTATTTTAAGTATTATTATTGCAGGATTTCAAGGCACAGTCATTCACAAAATATAAACATTTTGTGAAAACATATGCTAGTTCTATAAATAAAGGCAAGAAAATCCTCATTTGTGTTCCCTTCTGGAAGTCAAGCACATCCTTTTTGCTTGTTTGTTGGCTTCTTGTGTTACTCTGCACATCCCATCTTTTACGAACAGAAGAGGCACAACTATTCTTCTCCATAGAAATTCCAAGCCAGAAATGTTACCTCTGGAGACTTTTAAAGGATAAGATGCTACACAAAACATTACACTGATATGCTGAGTAAATGGTCAAATCGTACCTTTACTGTGGTGAAAATTCACTACATTATTCACCTAGAATATCATACTGAAGATATTAAAAATGTGACCAGATTACTAAATGGCTTCAGAAATAATAACAAGTTTCAGTTCCAATTTGCAATATATGAGACCCCAAGCCCAAATGGGTAAAAAACAGAACATTCCAGAGACATTTGCAAATTAGTTACTGCCCTCAACTGATCCACAGCTGCTTTACTGATGGAAAAAGAAAAACAAAAGGATGTCTAAAGTGTTGAAAGGTCAGGGCAGTAAAGGATGAATAAGGAATACATTTGGCCCTTACAGTGCAATGATATTGCACGTGTGAACTCAATTTAGCACTCCGAAGACTTAGCATAGGCTTAAGCTCCTTTGATCTACAGAGGAAATGCTCTCCACTGTAGAATAGCTGATCTTTTTACACTGGTTTAAGGGGTCCTCTGTAATCCCTATAAGCACTAAATGTCCTCATCGGCGCTGTAAAAACCACAGTAAATCATCTTTGGTGTTATTTGTATGTAAACTTTCTTAGTACTACTTTTTTAATGCAAAGTCACAAATCTTCATCATAAGGCCTTTTGTAAAAAGTCAGGCAGAGGTTGCAGGACATTGCAATGTTGGCTTGTTCAAAAACGGGTTGGGTGACAATTTCTCCCATCTCACTATGCCAGATTCTGTAATATATCAGTTCTGCTCATTTAATTCAGAGAGGTAACAGCTGTTTCTGCCCTTGTTCTTCAAGTCAAGAAATCTAGGTTTGTTTCAACTAAATATCTGTGAATTGAGACCAGCTATTTGCTTCTAGTCTACTGGAAAATCAGAATTCAAGGAAATGGAGATTTTACTTACTTCCTCCTTCACCCATAGGATAGAAGGGTTCCCTAAAGGCAGGATCCAAGGGGGAGTGGGCTTGCAATAGTCAGAGTCCCAGATCTGAGTCATGGCTTTGCCACTGTCCAGCTGGTCTCAGTTTCCTCATCTCCTGTGTGTGAGGTGACATTTGCCAAACAAGGTTGTTCTGAGATTAAGAAAGAAGGGTATGTTCAAGAATCTATTCTTCCAAAAATGCCTGGCAGGTGTGAGATGTTCAGTGTTAGCAGAACCCGAGATGATTAATACTACCAGCTACTTTCAGGGCATAGGCAGCGCCCAACTTTAAGTTCATGTAACAAGATCTGAACGGACTCGGTGTTTTCTTCCAGAGAAAAAGAAGCCAGTAGAATCCCAACAAGTCTTTAGAATGGAAATGTTCCGCAGATGACAGGCACTCAAGCAACAAAATCTGGCTGGCTTCCCTTACTTCCTCACTTCCAGGGGCGGGAGGGAATACAAACCGTGCCCCTTGCCCTAGTCTCAGTTCTCCACAGGGCTGGCTTCTCTGGAATGAGTCCTCCCTCTGGGCGGGCAAAGAGCAAGATCTTGTGCCCCTGCTCCTCGGAACACTCCCGCGCTCCCCAGCTCCTTCTAGATGCAGCACAGCAGCTCTACTTCCTCTCCAGGCACTGCATTCCCCAGGCGGCGGGGAGAGTTAGGGGGTGTCCCCGGGTTCCTGGGCGTGGAACGCAGTGGCCTCAGAAACTGTCCGTACTCTACCACTCCACTGGCACCCGCCAACACCTCCCTCTCCCTTCCCCCTGGCAGAGCACGCGGGGTGCGGTGCGTGCACCCCGGGCAGTCCCCAAAGCGCGCCTGCTGGAAAGGCGCCATCCATCACCTCCCATTCCAGCGGATTCTCGCCAGAGCCCAGCCAGGGCCCGCTCCTACAGCCAGCCCCAAAGATACTTGCGGTGTGTATGTGTGTGTGTGGGGTGGGGGGTTCTTTCTGGGACCCACTTTCATAGCCCTCTCTACCCCCATTTCTCGCAGGGGTGTGGGGGGAAGAGAACTAGGAAGCCAAGACCACTGAACCCGGAGTACTTCCAAATCCGTTACGCTTCCAATCATCCTCATAGCATCACCTTAGTTTATTGGCATTTCTCCCTAGCAGCGAAGCTCTGCCAAAACCCCGCAAGTGGCACCCCGCAAAAACCCCGCACCCCTGCTGCCTGCCCAACTCTCGCCCCACAGCGCAGCCTCCCGGCCTGGCACCTTCCATCCCGGGGTAAAACTCCTTGTTTTCCCGGAGCGGAACCCAGCCAGCAGGTTTCGGAAGTTTCCCACCTCCTCACTCCAACTCCCTTCCGGGAGCCCCCGCGCAGACCTCGCTTAAGGCGAAGAAGCCTAGAGGTCTCCCCTAAATCTGCGCTTACACAGGGTCCCGCCCCCTCTTCCCTCCCCTCCTTTCTCCTCCGTTCCAGCTCCAGTCCCCGCGCCTCCGGTTTCTCCAGCGCCAGCGGTTCTCTCACCCAAGAAGAGGAAACTTCTTTCTGGGCTAAATTCAGGTCGGAGCAGGAAAGGCTTTCCCTCCCGCCGGCATCAGAGGCGCGCTCACCCCCTATCCCCCAAAAGACCTCATATCCCCCTCTCCCCACGATCACCCTCTGAGACTTTGCCTCGGATTTCTAGTGTTACTCGACTTTTCGGGTCAAAAGGTCCAGCCATCTCTGAAAACACCACGGGGGCACTCTGGATTTTTCCCAAGACCCTACCAGTCCCGCATGGCTTGCAAAAGACAAGTAAACAAAACACGGACCCGGCAACTTTGGGGTGTCTGTGTGTGTGTGCGTGTGTGTCCGCGCGCGCGCGGGAGACAGAGCATCGCCCAAGAGTTAGGGCAACAGCTGCTAGAGCACATCTGGAAGAGGGGGAGGGGGTTCCACGCAGAGGGGACAAGAAGCCCCCACTGGCTTCAGGGCCTAGGGCTGGGCCAGCCTGTAGTTCATTACCTGTCCTATGTTGATGAATCCGTACTTGCTGGCGATGCGGTCGGCTTCCGAGAAGCCCCCGGCGATTTTGACTGCCCAGTGGTTGGTGTAGACGCGCGTCCTGCACACGGGGAGCAGGCAGCCCCCGAGCAGCGCCAGCACGCACAGCAGGTCCAGGCGTCCTGGGCAGCAGCAGCGGCTCCCCCAGCCCATAGTCCCGGCGCCTCGCTGCTCCCTAGCTCGCTGGCTGGCTGGCTCAGCGCACTAAGGGCGCGCACAACTAACTTCTCCGGCCTGGGCCGCCCGGCGCGCAGCCCCTGGCCGCCGCAGCTCGCAGCCCCGGGCGATCGGTAGGAGGCGGCTAGCCCGGCAGGGAGCAGAGCAGCTAGCCTCGCGCCGGCTCCTAGACCATCCCTGGGGCCGCGGGGACCTGTGCTCCCAGCTCTCCGGCCCGCGGAGCGCTCGGCGATGCTCCCCGGCTCGGGCGCAGGAGGCTGCTGAGTGGGGCGGGCGCCCTCCGCAGTTGGGCTTCGCCCGGTTCGGCTCCCGGACTCTCCGACTCGCTCTCGTTCCTCCCGGGGCCCCCGAGCGCGGCGGAGACAGCCAGTGAGAGCGGTGCAGGCAGCGACCGGGCGCCCCCTCTGCTGGCCCAGGCTCCGAGCGCTCGCTTGCTAGCTCCCTGCGCTCCCTCCGGCTCCGACCAGCGCGCGGGGATTCAGAGTGGCAATGGCAGCAGCGCCTGCTCTGCATAAATGACTTCCCCCGCCCCCCTTAACACCCCTCCTTTCCCACATCCCCCTCCTCCTCTCCCTCCTCCGCCCTCCTGAAAGCGGCCGCAGCCAGGGCGCCCATCAGGTCCTAGCGCCTCCGGGTTCTCCCAGCTGTAACCTCCAGGGTTCCGGGCAGCAAAGGCAAGTCTTTCCACAGCGCTGGGAAGAGAGCTCCGAGGCCCTGGTTTTACCCTCCTTTTTCATCTCCCTGCTGGATTTGTCTGAACGTATCGCCACTTCCCGAAAGACTAAAGACATTTACACGCCGGTGCGAGTTAAGCACCCTGAAGATTCATTCATCCTCGCTCTAAATGTCCTTAAACAACTAGGCATTTAAGGAGGTCACTTGCGTGTCAATTGCCGAACAAATAACCCGAGATTTTCACTTCGTTAATTCTTCATGCTTTTCAGCAACTGTTTATTTTACACATTCGGCTCCCGGGAGAAGCTACCACATAGGATAGTAAGTCGCATCGACTCCTAGAAAAGCCAACCACTGTGGCTCCAAATCCAAGTCCGTTGCCCGCTCTCTTTCGAAATCTGCGCATCCGATACTAGGCAACGCCACGGGAGAGTAAAATTCCGGCCTTGGAAGTGAAGAAGCACGTTTCTATGAATACCTGGTATACTAGTGGATGGAGATGTTGGGCCAAGGGAATAACTCCATTCGTTTGTTGGATTGCTTCTGACGAGGGCGTCTTTTCCTCCACCAAGGGAAAAGTTTTCCAACTTTTCCAAGCACAGTCCTGTAGCAGTGAAAAACTTTAATATAAAAAAGACCACAGAGGAAGTTCAGATGAAATATGGGGCCGCGTCACCTTCATTACTCTGCTGCAGCAGGCAGGAGGGAGCCCAAATTAACCCTCCTCTCGATTCTCCTTTACAACCTCCCTGCCTTCTTGGAGCGGGGGTGGGGTACAGAGTGATTTATTGTGACAAGAAAAATTACCTTGTACGAAATAATTCAACTGACTTTAAGAGTATTCACTATATCCCTAACTGTCCTTCTTTCTCTCCTCCTACCATGCCCTATTTCTTTCTTCCTGTTAGTTAAATGTGTTTGAGATTAATTAACTCATCCCACCTATAGCTTTTGGTACTGATTTTTTTTTATCTGAAACATACCTGCAGACTTAAAATTCCACTTGTACCTCTGAGCATAGCATTTGACATTTTACACATTGTATAAGGTATGCTATATTATTTCATCTTGAAAACAAACACACGAAATAACATTATCCCCACATTATAGATGAAGAAATAGACGATCAGAAGAACTAAAACATGTGCAGAAGGGTATGTTATTTTATTCGTTATTTGACTGATTCGACACATCTGTTTTGAGCACCTAGCATGTGCTATGAATTGTGCTGAGCACTGGAGAAAGGGCAAGGGGGGCACAAAAAATTAGTGGAATTCAGAATCTGTGAATACTCTAGAGTAAATGTAGTTTATTACTGCATTTATTTATTTAGTTTTTGAGACACAGTCTCGCTCCATTACCCAGGCTGGAGTGCAGGATGCGATCTCTGCTCACTGCAACCTTTGCCTCCCAGGTTCAAGCAATTCTTCTCTCTCAGCCTCCCCAGTAGCTGGGATTACAGGCATGTACCACCATGCCAGGTTATTTTTGGATTTTAGTAGAGATGGAGTTTCACCTTGTTAGTCAGGCTGGTCTCAAACTCCTGATCTCAGGTGATCCACCTGCCTCGGCCTCCCTGAGTGCTGGGATTACAGGAGTGAGCCACCAGGCCTGGCCTATTTATTTATTTTTGAGACAGAGTCTCGCTGTATTGCCCAGACTGGAGTGCAGTGGCATGATCTCAGCTCACTGCAGCCTTTGCCTCCCAGGTTTAAGCAGATCTCCTGCCTCAGCCTCCCTGAGTAGCTGGGATTACAGGTTCCTGCCACCACGCCTGGCTAATGTTTTGTATTTTTGGTAGAGACGGGGTTTCACCTTGTTGATCAGGCTAGTCTCGAACTTCTGATCTCAAATGATCCACCTGCCTTGCCCTAGAAAAGTGCTGGGATTACTGGCACGAGCCACTGTGTCTAGCCTATTATTATTTAAGAGGAAAAACATAAGCACTATGCTTGTGCTTTAGAGTTTTGGTACCATCTCTCTACTAGCCAGTCCCTGTAGACACATTTCTTCCTCCTTCCCAGCCATGGAGTCCGAAAGTTCACAATCTATTACTACACGGTTAACTATGATGATCTGTATCTATGTGTAATGACATTGGAGTATCCCTCTTGAAGACGGTGAATTTCAGATGGGATAAGACTTCAGTCAAGGTCCAAATCTCAATACAATATAAGGGACAGTCAATTTTTTTTTTTTCCAGAATTGTGGGCATTTCAGGTAGGAGGAAGAACTTGTCGGACCGTGATCCACAGAAGGGTTGCCACTACATAAGGTACTTTTGTAACAAATTTGAAGAGTGCCCTACAGGTTTATCTCTGGGACTCTGGAGCTGTTATTGTTTAGGACTACAAAGGCAACACAAAATGCTTCTCTTTCAAAGCCATGTTGTCTCCAGGCTTCAAATTCTGAATGAAATGAAGACGAATCACTGCACTCAGTCTTCTGAAGCCTGGAGATTGTTTTCTTGGGGTGGAAAAATTGCTCATTAATATTTTTTTCCCCATGGTGTCTTTCTCTTTTTCTTTCCACTAGCACTCTTGCCTTCTGTGAGCATGCCCTGGTTGGCACACACAAACGTAACATTCACTGCATTGAACATGAGAGAGAATTGGAACATGAGGGCCAAACCACTATTCTGCTTTGTAAACTAATCCCTGGGCCAGCATTTAAACTTACTCAAAGGGCATATTATTTCATTTCAATGCATATGTATTTAAAAGGGAAAAACCTAGCTCTTCTTTTTAAATGAGTTAAATTCTTATTTATCTGTTAAATCAAATGTATGGATATAGACTCATTCCTCTTATTGTCCATAGCTTTTGCAGTTATATCACAGTTCCATTATAAGACCATTCTCAAAAAGTGTGATTCTTAAACCTAAATGATATCAAAGAAGTTCCACTTCCGTTGATGAATAGGCACATTCTGCTTCCTGCTTTGGAATCTACTTTAATGAACTCATTAGCTTCTTTGGATAGAGCCTTATTGGTCAAGAATGAAGCTTCCAGATAAGCAATAGCAAAGAATCTGTCATATTTCATGACCTTAGGCTCTGATGGTTATGACAGTCAATTCTATTACCAATGTCTCAGTAGTCCAAGGAAGGAGGAACTGGTAGACTAGTAGTGGCTGGTGAAAAACCATTTCTAACATTGTAAAGAAGCTAAAATCCAAGTCTTACATGAGTGTTTTCATTTTGTATGCAAAGAATAGATCTGCAGGCTTTGCCCCTTGACTTTTCCTCTGTAACGTGCCATATGGCAGGAAACCAGGCAGTTTTCAGTTTTACCTTGCCTTATACTTAGCAACATATTACTTGATAATGAGGCCCCACTAGTGTTTGGCCTCTCTGCCCAAGTCCCTTAAATCTCTAAAAGAAAACTACACTGAAATGCAATGAACAGAAATCTAAGAATTTTAATGGAAGGAGAAGGGAACAAGAACTCCTTAAGGACCCATATTGAAATTCTGCAAACTGGAATTATTCTGGGAAGAATTTGCCTTATGAGACATCTTATTTCTTCTGCTGCTATATCCATTGCTAGAAATTAACCTCTAGGATCTCTTATAACATGAGACTCTGTGAATCAATAATAAATTGGTAAAGGGCTGTTTGGAGGTAACCAATAGGAGAAAAAAATGCTACTGGACATTACACTGCCTATTAGGAGAGTTAACAATTCTATGGTATCGTAGTATATCAGATTGAGAATTGGTGTGAACGTTCCTCAAATTTAATAATGCTAATAATGAAAAATTACTAGTTAACCATTGAACAACATGGATTTGAACTGTACAGGTCCATTTATGCAGATTTTCTCCAATAAATATATTGGAAGTTTTTTTGGAGTTTGCCACTTATAAAATAACTCTCAAACCGCATAGCTTAGACATATTGAAAAAATCAAGAGAAAGGTATGTTATGAGTGCATAAAATATACTAGTCTATTTTATCATTTACTACCATAAAATATGTCTTATAAAAATTAAAACGTATTAAAAGTTATACACACAAACACAGACCATAAATAGCCCCATTCACATTTGAGAGAACTATAAACATAGATGTAATATTAAATTATAACTGTACAAAATTAATTGTAATGCATATTGTACTGAGTAATAAT